TATGGTGATATAAATATGCAAATACAATGCAGGAAGTTAGAATGCGGGAGTAAACCCAAACTGTAAAATCCGGAGATGGAGTTCCGAAGTCGATCTGACGCCGATAACAATGTCATTTCATCGATTCCTGCGACGCAGTCAGTGCCAAGCTGTATTGACAATTGTCATTCCCTTGGGTCCACTGGTTGCGTGGAGAGTGGGGATCTGCTGCATTGGGCAACAGCTGGTCTCCATAAATCACCTCCCAGGCTAAGTAGCTATATTAGCGACGTCACTTTATGAGGAGCAAGTTTGTTTTGTAAGCCAAAAAAAGTCAATAGGAGGAAGATTCAACCACTTCGCGTCGCAACATGGAATGTGAGAACCATGTGTCCTGGATTTGAAACGGATCAGATTGACAACGCAAGGAAGACTGCCGCCATTGACAAAGAACTCACCAGACTAAACATTGGTATTGCAGGCCTTCAAGAGACCCGACTAGTGGATAGTGGTACCATAAAGGAAGCCAGCTACACATTCTACTGGCAGGGGAAACCTGCAGATGAACCTAGACAGCATGGTGTTGGATGAACCTCCTTCATTGGGATGGGAGAGGATTCTGTGACTGCGGATGTCATCATCTGCTGGCAAGGTCAAAGTATTCAGTGTGTATGCTCCAACTCTTCATTTGAGGCCAGAAGAGAAAGATTTGTTTTATGAGACCCTGGACCAAGAATTATCACGTGTTCCCAAAACCGAAGCATTGTACATTCTGGGAGACTTTAATGCTAGAGTAGGAGCTGATCAGGAAGCCTGGCAGTCATGTCTTGGTTATCACGGATTAGGAAGGATAAATGAAAACAGACAACGTCTGCTGGAGTTGTGCTGCTCCCATGGTCTCTGTGTTACCAACGCCTTCTTCAAATGTAAACAAATCCAAAAGGTGTCTGGTGACACCCACGTTCCTGCCATTGGCATCAGCTAGACCTCGTTATTACTAGGTGCGTGGAGCTAGCCAGTGTACTTCATACCCGCAGCTACCATAGCTGTGACATGGACCATTCTCTCGTAGCAAGCAAGATACGACTAATTCCAAAAAAATTGCATAATGCTAAAAATAAGTGTCGTCCACGAATTAACATCCACTGCTCAAACAACCCAGAAAAAACACAGCAATTCTCAAAACTGTTGCAGGACACCCTTGCTAAAAGATCACATGATGGTACTATTGACTCTAAGTGGACTCTTTTACAAGATGCTGTGTACGATTTAGCCATGTCCCCCTATGGTAAAATGGAGCATAAAAATAATGACTGGTACGAGGCGCAAAGGAATGTGATGGAACCAGTAATCGAGAGGAAGAGAAGAGGCCTACTTGCCTATAGGGATGCACCTTGTGCTAGTACAATAAGAGACTCTCCAAACCGCAAAAAAATTGTCACAGCAGACGGCCCGCCACTGTGCCAACACTTACTGGCTAGACCTCTGCAACTTCATACAATCGGCTTCAGACAACAGAGATGCAAGGAGCATGTACGAGGGCATCAAGAGGGCATTTGGTCCACACACCTCAAAAATAGTACCACTCAAGTCCAGGACGGGCCAAATTAACAAGAACCCAAATGATCAACTCCGGCGTTGGGTAAAGCATTATCTTGAACTATACTCGACTATGAATTTAGTCACTAAGACCGCTCTGCATAATATTCCCGTCTTGTCAGTAATGAATGAACTTGATGATGAGCCAACTTTACAGGAGCTCGAAAAAGCCATTGATTACCTTGCGGATGGGAAGGCTCCAGGCATTGACGGCATCCCAGCGGAAATCCTCAAAAATGGAAAACCTATTCTACTTCACCCCTTACATGAGCTCCTCTGTTTGTGTTGGGAAACAGGTCACATTCCCCAGGACATGAGTGACGCCAACATCGTAACACTGTATAAAAATGAAGGGGGCACCGAAGTGATTGCAATAGTTACCGAGGTATTTCTCTCCTTGGCATAGTTGGAAAGACCTTTGCCTGTGTTGCCCTTAAACGATTGCAGAGTCTTGCGAATCGCATCTACCCAGAGTCCCAGTGTGGCTTCAGGAGTGGGCGCTCAACAATAGACATGATATTTTCGCTACGCCAATTGTAGGAAAAATTTCGTGAACAGCTTATGCCTCTTTATATTGCCTTTATAGACCTAACCAAGGCATTTGACTTGGTAAGTCGGAGAGGCCTTTTCAGTATCTTGCAAAGAATAGGTTGTCCCCCACGACTGCTCACAATAATACAGTCATTTCACAAAAACATGCACAGCACAGTAACTTTCAATGGCACTGTCTCTAAGTCATTCCCAGTTAGCAACCGGAGCAAAACAGGGCACCAACTGGCACCAACGCTCTTTTCCATTTTCTTTTCGATGCTCCTTCAATTTGCCTTCAGAGACTGTTGTGAATATGGAGTGTTCGTCCATACCAGATCTGACGGTAGGCTGTTCAATATCGCCCGCATTCGTGCAAAGATCAAAGTAAAAAAAAGTGCTGATTCATGAACTGCTATTCGCTGACGATGATGCCTTAACATCTCACACAGAAGAAGGTCTGCTGGGGCTGGTTAATCGTCTATCCCACGCTTGTAAAGAGTTTGGACGTTCAATTAGTCTACAGAAAAAACATGTAATGTTGCAAGAAGCACCGTCCCCTCCAATCATATCTATTGAGGGTCAAAATCTTTCAGTTGTTGATCATTTCACATACCTGGGACCCAATATTTCTAGTTCTCTCTCCGTTGATGAAGAGATAAATATCAGGATTGCAAAAGCAGCAGCAACTATGGCTAAACTGAATAAGCGGATGTGGAATAATCTCAATCTAACTGATAAAACAAAAATAAGTGTCTATCAGCCATGTGTGCTTAGCACGCTCCTATATGGTAAGTGTGGACCACATACACCAATACAGGAGCGGAAACTCAACAGTTTCCATCAAAGATGTCTGCGTCGCATTTTGCGCATTCGTTGGCAGGACAAGGCGCCTAACGTTGAGGTTTTTGAACGTGCACACATGTTTAGCATATTCTCCTTACTCATCAAGAGGCACCTTCACTGGTTAGGCCATGTAAGGAGAATGGAGGAAGGACTTATCCCAAAGATGCTGCTGTATGGAGAGTTGGCAGAAGGGACCAGACATATTGGTCGGCTATGCCTCAGATTTATTAACGTTTGCAAAAAAAAGCATGAACAAAGCCAATATTGAAAAAAACGAATGGGAGTTCATTGCCGAATATCACTCCAGCAGTGTTTGAAGGAGTAAAAAAGGCAGAAAATAGTCGAAATGAGGCCCTTGAAGCAAAAAGATCAATTCGAAAATTCGAAAATCAAGATCTCACCGGGAATCAATATTCTCCTGCGAGAGATGCGGCCGTGATTGTCACTCTAGGATTGGCCTAGTGAGCCACTCGTCAAAGTGTAGAACTATATAGCTACTCCATCTTCTCACGAAGACGGAAGGATGCCATAAATATAATAAAAAAAATAAATAAAAAAATAAAAATAAGTTTTGATAAGTTAAAGTAAAATAATTAGCAGTAAAATAATTTGAACTTGAAGCAGACATCTAAGTGCTCTGCCATCATCAAAGAATTTTATGAAAGGAAATAGTTTTAATTTTTTTGTGAAGTATGAAAAAAAATATGTGCCATAAGGAACAAAATATTTGAGCTTTTAAGTCATTAAATTTAAGTGCTATTATGTGCTTCTATGACTTAACATGACTTCTTTTGAAAAGTATCAAACATTTTCTTTCATTATCCTTTGTACCAAAGACGCCAGACATGCAGTGGAGCTATAGTATAAAGGGAGTTTTACCAGAGTACCGACCTCCACGTGGAATTTCAGCCCCTCCAATATCAGGACCACACCCAGTCCTCAAGAAACAACGCTCCAAGAAAAACTACATAAGGGAGAATTTAAAGCTCATTGCAACAGCAGTGTCCTCCCCTGTCAAAGGTGCACCACTTACAAAAAGAGGATGGCATCAGAGAGAACTGATTTCTATTTAATTCTTATATGTACACTGTTCACATTCCAGAGGTTTTTAATTAATGTATATGTAACCTTTGGAGAGGGTTAGATAAATTATTGTATTTATTTTATATTTACAAATCTCTTAACAACCAAGCATTATATGTGATAAATGAGCTTGTTGATTAACATAATATTGTTTCACTATCAATTTGAATTCATTTAATTTCTTGTAATCTCATAGATTCCATTAAAACACTTTGATAAAATATGGACAGATTTTCTATTGCTGTTATAATAAATTATATCATTATTTTACATTTCATTTTTAAAAAAAAAAAATTTTTTTTTACACAAAGTCAACAAATGAAAGAATTAGATTCTATTTCCTGTGATGATACTTTTAGAATTGTTTGTCCTAAAAAGTTTGTTTTGATTTGCTTTCCTGGAAGTATAATAAAAAAAATAATGTATACGTTGCTGGTCATTTATTTTTATCTACAATCTATGAATGATTTGGAATTGGTGAATTAAAAAAAAATTCAAACGCTGCTATGCCATGTTGTTGGGTAATAGGCAAATTCATCTATATAAAAATATTACTAAAACAATTTAAGATGTTAATTTTTTTTACATCAATCATTGTTACTGTTGTTTTATATGTTAATGTAAATAATGCTCATGCCTCAACACTGATAATAAAGTAAACTTATAATATTCCATTATACTCATTCAGTTTCTTGTTAAATGAATATTAACAAATCTATTACCATATATTGAAAAATTAAATTGGTGTGATTATTATCTTGTATACAAGTTATAAAATATAGACATTTTTAATAGAATTAGTGAAAGGAAACAATTTTGTGTATGTGTGATTGTAATAAAAATTTGAATGACATATAAATCAAAGTATTCCGCAAATTGTGATATTTTACATTGTATTATTTAAAGACTCATCGAATTTCATGCCCATATAACTAACCTTATTTTTTTAGTATGCATTATTTTAATTATGATTAAATTTAATTTTTATGGTGAAAATAAACTTTGTTAGGGTATTTAAGTTATGTTTTTTTCTTTGTCTGGATGTTATGGGCCAATTAATTATAATCTGTAGAGAAATAAAAATTATTAAACATTAAATAAGTCTATTGGCTGACATGTGTTAATTAGACCAACCTAAACTAAAGTGATGGAAGTAAGTGGCAAGTTATAAATACAATAAATCTTATTTATATAATTTGTTTCCGTTAATGCATATTTTCTATTTTAAAAAACTCCTAAAAATATGCAAAGATTACATAAATAAAGCATTTGTTTAAGTGTCAATGTCTGAATAGATCTAATGTAAATGGCCTGCTATTATAAACTTTAACATTTAATAATCAAATGTTTTTTAATTAGGAATATTTCATTTATCTTCAAAATTCATTTCAGCTAAAATAATCCATCCGTCCAGATTAAATGAATTGGATTCAAAAACTTAAAAATAAATCTGTTTACTTTTTGAATGAATTTTAATTGTATGCTCTACAACTATTAATATCTATCAAGGGTGTAGTGTTGATAGAGGTTTAATACATTTTTTAAAAATTTTAACTTTAGAATGTAAAATAATATTTGCATGTGTTCTGTGATAAACCCATTATTATGAATGGAAAGAAAATAAATGCACCATTTTGTAAATAAAAAAAAAAATATAAACATTGTTTTGTGCTTGAAATTATTTTTCATAATTCCATTCCACTTATTGTAAATGAGCAATTACATAAACCCTAACGTCAAGAATGCACTTTATTTCAAATATTTTTTGTGAAATGTTGCTTTCCGTGGGTCCAAAGGAAACTTATTTTCAAACTCAAAAATAACTAATTTAATTGCCTAACTCCCATAAATCCTATGCAGATATTTAGATTTTAAATATTGTCAGTCTTTTTTACATTCTCATTTTTTAAAAAAAGGACTTGTAAAAATCACAAAACTATGAAAAGCTTTTTTGAAAATCAAATACTTTATTGACTTGGTGGCACAAGGAAGATGTTTCATTTTTGTTGGTCAGTTTTTATTTTCAGTGAATAATAATTTATTGACTGACATAATTTTAAGCAGGCTCCTTACAAAATTAACAAATATGCATTTTCTCTGCTTTAAAAAAAAAATCTGGATTTTTAAAAATATGAAATAGCAAAGTTTTGATTGATGCTGATTTCTGAAAAAAAAGTTAACCTGGATGTTGTGATAGCTTGTGTCATCAGGTTTCATTTGTGATTTACTTGCATCTCTAAGAACACACACACACATCACTTTCTAATATAGCCACAAAGTGTGGTTTATAGAAAATACATAAAAACTTTTTAAAAATTTTAAATATTTAAAAAAAAATGTTTTTAAAATTAAAAATAAGTTATTTTATTTTGAATAATTATATAAATTTTTATCACATGTCATTATAATACTGATGATCCAGTTGAACAGATTTCCGCTCCTTGGTTTAAGCTGGATGGCTTTGCGATTTCAATGTTTTATTTCCTTAAAGCTGAATAAATTCTTTGTTCACCATCATTCATTAGGACAGCAAGCTGGTTATTTACTTTTTTTTAATTGAAAAGAAAAAAACAACTGACAATAGAAAATGCTGTTGTTTAATTTAAATTAAGCAATCACAGTTACGCGTCAGATTTGAGTTCAGTGCAATTCGAATTTATGTAAATCTAAAACTAAATAATTTTTTGAATCACTTCCACATCCTGATTCTTCAAATCATAAGAAAAATGCCTCTTAAAAAAAAAGAAACAGCTGGTAATTAGACAAGAGTCCGTTTTGATCCTGATGATATACCTCTGACATGTGACAAGCATTTTTCATAGGATTAGAAGAAATGAAACTGGATGGCTTTAATCAGGTAGAAGCAATCAAATACTACTAAACAGGTGTTAAAATAAACAAAAATCAATATGCAGTACTTTGCACCAAAACTAAACACTATATACAAGTGATGCACATGGAATAAAATAATTCTGTAGGAGTTATAATGCCGGGGAGTGGCTAGTAAAAAAAAAAATTGATCTAAACAGGGGTATGAGGATGTGGTTTTAGGGACTGATCATTTAAATTTTAGTTAAATTTTTTTTTTTTCTTTTTCATATCTAAAGGTAAAATAGGATTAAGATATTCAACCCCCCAATTTCTTCTCCTCAGCAATGACAGCCTCAACACCCCTTCTCATCTCCTGGATGGCCTGGATTTCAGTGAGACCTAATCTCCTCTTGTTGGAGATGTCGTAAACACCACCAACAGATTCTGTGTGCTCTCCGTGGATTCCTGGAATATATTAAATTAAGTTTGAGAAATCATGTGTACATTCATAGTTAATAATATAAGATCTATTGAACCAAGTGTTTTATCACCACTAAATTGACCATTTGTTTTATCAGCACTGAGGAATTGTCTTTCATTTTTGTAAGTTATGAAAAAAGGTCAAATTGAGATCAGTAATAATATCTATTCAATAAAATAATTATCAATAATTGTGATTGTATGATTTTCTACATTTCATAGTAGTTGAGAATTTAATTTAAAAATTGAAAATAAAATTTGCCACGGAGAATCAAATATACAATTCTTTATGTACCATATGGAGCTGATTCAGTAAATAAAATTTCAATAATGTTATAAATCTGCATTATATTATGACAGGAAGTGGGACATTAGAATATGAATATAGTTCAGGGGCATTAAAAAAAATGTGCGGTTGTGAGCCATTGGGACTCTTATAAAGTCCTTTACTTCAATGCGTGTTTTGTTAAGTAATTTTAGTACATGGGAAGTTCAGGCCTTGTTGTGGTACATTGTTTGGCAGGTTACATTTTTTTATAATATAAACTAACTTATTCAAAGCAATTTCCCCCAATATAAACCTGTCTGACATAGGAAATCTATCCAAGATAATTGGCTTATCAGTCAAGTCCATAACTCTTTTCATCTTCTCAATGACCAACAATGAAGCTAAAATATTTCACAGAATGACTTTAGGGACTTTTAAATTAATTTACGAGGAAAGTAATCCCAATGATTTTTTTTAACCTAGCACTTTTGTAAAATATCACAGAACAGCATGCACCCTAATCTTTACTGGAGAAAAATCCCATCTTTAAATGAGTGCATTTACCTCTGGCCTGGATGTTGAGTTTGTCACAGAAAGCCTTGAAGTCGGGGCTGGCAGACAGCTTGGGGATCTTGATGTGCACAGAGGCACGGAGTGTGGTGCCCAGGTTGGAGGGGCAGAAAGTCAGGTAGCCAAGACCTTCACGTTTGGCAAATGAGAGACCACTTCCCTCAAGAGCCTTGATGGCCTGCAGACAAAATATTTGGGTTGATTTTGGGTTGATTGAAAATTGAATCAAAGTTAAATTTACAACAAGGCAACGAAACTTTTGTATATATTATTTATACATAAAATACAATTACTTGTAAAAAAAAATTAATCTTATTCTCGTAGAAGGTAAACTGAAATGTTCTTTGGTTTTATGATTTAAAGTTTTTGAGCTTTAAAATATGTGTTAAAAAATGTAGGCTTAACTTTTACAAAAGTTTGAAACTCCAATTAAAACTGATACCCTTCTGGGAGGAGCGCGTGCTAATAGATTCTTATTTAAACTATTAACATGACTTTTGTGTTTGTTCTTCACTTTCAATAAACCGTTGCTGGTATCAGGGCGAGTACCTTGACAAGTCTTGTGTAGACCTCTTGCAGGTTACCTCCCTTCTGCATAGAGATGAATCTGAGGTGATCCTCCTCGTTGACCCACACCAAGAAAGTCTTGTTGTCATTGAAGAAAATACCACGGCCGGTGGGCCAGTCATTGTAGCCTCCAGCTGCTCTCAAGAACCTGACATCAAGTTACAGATACTCCATTAATCAGTGAACAAATTAACAAAAAAAGCCTAGCATTTGAAACAACTTTGAAACAATTACAACATATCCAACCTTAAATCAACAAAATTAATTAGTTATCCCATCCTTTGATGCAATACAATTTCTATTGAACTATAACCTAGTATAGTAATGGATAGGTTTTGAATTGTGAAAAGGTCTGCAGCCGTTTGCCTCACTGACACATGTCTGGTCAATGAAGGCAGTATTTGTGTGTCTTTAAAACGAAGAGAGCTTCAAGATTTAATCTTAAAGCTGTAGATTTTCTCATGGCCAGTATCGACAAGATGCAAAAGATTGCAATGGAAGCAATATTTTTAAATGGTACACTTTTGTTGGTGAGGATTATATTTAATAATAGTTATGATTCCCACCTGACGCTACAAGTAAATGCTATTCATGACTCCCACCTGTCACTACAGGTAAATGCTATTCATGACTCCCACCTGTCACTATCGTTGAAGAGGAAGTGGTCCTCTGTCAACTGTTTCTGGGTCTCCTTGGTCATTCCGGTGAGTGGGTAGTAGGTTCCCTTGAGCTCACCTTCCAACTTCTGCAGTGCCTCGACTGTCTTCTTCTCCATTTCAACTCTGTCCTGTGCATGGAAGAATGTTCAAACGATTGTTTGGTTTCAGATTTAGTAAAAGCCAGTAAAACAAATTCATCGAGCTAAAACAAAAAAATCTCTTATGTAAAAATTGTCCGATATATTTTTTTCCACACTTAAATCAGAAAAAAAGGGATATGGAACGGACAGAGCAAGGGGTGATTTTAGGCAAAAACTATTTCAATAAATCTAAATAAAGTGGAAGAAATATGGTGTTAGCACATTAAAAAGAATGTTGATTAGTTCATCGACTTAAAATAGCCGAAATTTAGTCCTTTTACTAACTAGAATATTATTCAAAGTGTAATCGGTCTCTTTTGGTGAAGAGTTCTGATAAGCTCCAAAATAGAAAGACGTTTAAATTGTGACTGAACATCTTCCTTGTCACATTAACAATGTAGTTTTTTTTTTTTTTTTTTTTTTTTAAATCAGCAGTTACGTTGGCCTGAAATTGTTGATCTGAGACTTTAGCGACTCCTACCCCTATCGAAACGACTCCTACCCCTATCGAAACGATCCCACTCCCAAAGTTCCTGCCTAGCAAGTCATTAATCCCCGAGACACTGTCCATCAAAATAACTAATGTGAACTCTGGCATGATTGGTGCAAGCTGTTTTATTTTTCTTCTTTTTTTTCCTGACTTTTATAGCCGACATTTACTCAGGATTCCCCTAATGCTCCCAGAGGACTGAAATTTGTGAGATAGTTCATTCCAGTTACGCATTTTTAATCTTTCAAAGTTTAGCGGGTCCATAATTCACACATTTCAAAACGTATGTAGTTCATATATTTCATATTTCTAGGGTACAATGTTTAGCAATTGTAAATACGGATTGGCAATTTTATTAAATCTGGTATCACAGCTCTAGTTTCAACCCTTGTCATACCGTATGCCAGCAAACCGTGGACCATGATGAAGAAAACAACTCATGCTCAAAATAATTTGTCTAAATGAAGGCTGCGTATTTTTGAGAAATTCAATGGTGATCAGCTAAAGTAATGATGGCCAAAGTCGAATAAGTAATAAAACAGAGCATAGAAAATATAGTTGGTGTGCAGCAGAATGAACTTTGCAGGGCACGTCTTACGGCTAATACTTCAAGTATAGCTGAAACAACACTGAACATCATCTCTGAACATCGGACATCATCTCTGAACATTGAAAATCATCTCTTAACATTGGACATCATCTCTGAAAATTGAAAATGAGCTCTGAACGTTGGACATGAGCTCTGAACATTGGACAACATTTCTGAACATTGGAAATGAGCTCTGACAAAGCTGAATATAAAGAGGAAGACAGAAAGGTGGACATTAATTGTTGGCCAATCCAATTCAGCCAAAATGGTCTATGAGAATATAAGACACCACAGCCTTTGATATATTGCCAAAAAGCAAAAGTCTGACTGAATATCCTATACTATGAATAGTCGGGTTTTTTGGGTCATTTTCTTGTCTGACAATTTACCTCGAGTGTAAGTACTGGGGGGAAGCCATAACTGTCATGGCTGCGACCAACACGGACACGAGTGGAGACGATGAGGTTACCAGATGGGTCAAGGTCGCCAAAGTCCAGCTTGTCGACGTCGCCAAAGTCCGGCTGGGGGTGGTTCAGCTCGCTGACCTTGTGGTAATCCTTGATGACGGCATCCAGGAGAGGCGCGAACGTGGTGTAGGCCTCGGGATCAGAGGCGTAGACACCGACACCGCTGTCTGTGTTCTCACAGCCTGAAACGAAACGAAGGGCAAGGTCACGCTTTGTGAAACAATTCTGCACCATTTTCGGTTTGTTTTGGAGTCGATGTTTCACCAAGAGCGTTTTTAACGGAATTCTGAGATTAAATCATTTAGATATATTTCAATTTAAGACGTGTCACTTATTTAATGTAAAGAAGTAATATGCTCTGGAAAACCCCATTTGGCTTGAATATATGGGGTGTTGGCGCTGGAGATAGGGGAGGGGTTGGGGGGGGGCGGCAGCCGTCGACACCTAACAGCCCCGAAGCGTGCCGGCCGTTGTTTAGGGTGAAAGAAAACTTTAATGTGTTCTGCGACTTGTTTTAGAGGGTGGTGTGCCATTGGTTGAAATCAAAACTAATGGTCTGCATTAAAAAAAAAATAAATGTTAAAGCCTGGAGTAGGCCATAGACAGGTTGTACCACATTCCAGTAAACAAAACCTCACGCCTACCCCACCCATCCCTGGAACTGTAAGGTTTATTAAAAACTTCGTCTAAATTAATAAGCAAGGGTATGTACACTGTAGCAGGCCTGTTGTGCGTACACTGTAGCAGGCCTGTTGTGCGTACACTGTAGCAGGCCTGTTGTGCGTACACTGTAGCAGGCCTGTTGTGCGTACACTGTAGCAGGCCTGTTGTGCGTACACTGTAGCAGGCCTGTTGTGCGTATGCTTGAAGGGTGGCGGGTAAAAATATGTTGAAACTAACGAATGCGGAAAGAAATGAAACATTGTTAGGCCTAACACGCTATGCATCCTCATACATTGTTAGGCCTAACACGCTATGCATCCTCATACATTGTTAGGCCTAACACGCTATGCATCCTCATACATTGTTAGGCCTAACACGCTATGCATCCTCATACATTGTTAGGCCTAACACGCTATGCATCCTCATACATTGTTAGGCCTAACACGATATGCATCCTCATACATTGTTAGGCCTAACACGCTATGCATCCTCATACATTGTTAGGCCTAACACGCTATGCATCCTCATACATTGTTAGGCCTAACACGCTATGCATCCTCATACATTGTTAGGCCTAACACGCTATGCATCCTCATACATTGTTAATCCTTGAAAGTGGATTTTAAAAAAACACAAAAAAAACAACAAAAATTAGGGGGGGGGGTGGTAAAAACAAAAGGATAATAAACATCCCTGCCCTTTGAGAACAGACACCTCACACGCTCATTCAGTGTTATAATCGCGTTAGAGATTATATGGTGAAGTTAGATGTACACTGGGTCAGGTGTACATTGGGTCAGATGCAGTGTTCCCTTTAAGCTGCGCTAACGCGCAGCTATCTCACAGACGCCGCGCAGCAGTTTTGAGTATCCACGCAGCAAATTTCCATGCAAGTGTGTGTTTGTGGGCTGTAAAATTTTGCACACAAAAAAAAATTGATGCTGTAAAACTTTGCACACAACTGTAGGATTTTGCACACGAATCAACAAACCTTAGAGGGAACATTGGTCAGGTGTACACTGGGTCAGCAATATTCGAGACAAAATAGTATAACAGAAATATTTTTTTTTAAACAAACAGATCCGAAATTAAATTTTTATAGCGAAGATTAAATCAATTTTTAAACAAACAGATCCGAAATTACATTTTTATAGCGAAAATTAAATCAATTTTTAAACAAACAGATCCGAAATTACATTTTTATAGCGAAGATTAAATCAATTTTTAAACAAACAGATCCGAAATTACATTTTTATAGCGAAGATTAAATCAATTTTTAAACAAACAGATCCGAAATTACATTTTTATAGCGAAGATTAAATCCATTTTTAAACAAACAGATCCGAAATTACATTTTTATAGCGAAGATTAAATCCATTTTTAAACAAACAGATCCGAAATTACATTTTTATAGCGAAGATTAAATCCATTTTTAAACAAAGTTTGATTTTCGGCCTTTTTAAAAAGTTGAAAATAGGAAATTAATAAAAGCTGAATAAACAAACAACAGCAGCATGTCATGTGACTGTGTGAAGATCAGCATTCGAATAAATAGACACATTTTAACAGTTTTATTATGTGTTATGTGCATAAATCTGAGTCTATGATGAAATCTTGACATGTTACATCTTTAGAGAAATTAGCCGCACATTTAATATATATATATATATATAAATTAATGAGGGTTTCAAGGAGGCAGCAACGATGTAAATTTTATGACAGGAGGAGACTTTGCATTTCACTATAATAATAAAATAAATAAATAAATGCGCTCCAACATGTTCACTTATCAGTGTCCAGCGGTGTCCAGAAGGCACACTGGTCTCTTACCTGAACGAATGCAGTCAGCTAGAGTTCCGCCGAATTTCGTCTTCAAAAACTTTATACGCGTGTATATATTATTGGTCAGATGTTTTCTAAGCAAAGACTTGCAGTCCGTCGCGCCTAACAGTCTTCTGTAAAGACCATCGACCTCAACAAAAGGATCGCGCGGTTCCCCCATTCTATATGTTGCTTTTGTTTGAACAAGTCAGACAAGATAAAATTGACCGATTGCTTAAGTTTCTTGCAACTATCGACAAAAAAAAATGGCGAAACGTATCAAAGCGAAGGAACAAAGTCCTTAATTTCTTTCCATTCCTGTGGAGTACGTGTTTCAGACCATGTGACATACGCAACAACCAATCTATGGCTCCAAAACAAATGTCCCGTGGTTCAAGCAAATTCCCGATTGCACATCTCAGCTGCCAAAAAGCTTATGTCCCGACGCAAGCTTTTTCGTCGATAGGTCAGGTTATCATGGTTTTTTTTTCTGACGAACTAAGGCACGGATTTTTGGGGGCAGTTCTGATAATCTTACCAGATAGGAGACTTCTTTAACTGATTTTTTAAAAAAAAATACCCACTTAGAACTTTTAAGCCCGGAAGTAGAAAGTCAGTCTTGCGATGAACGGTGCGCACCGGTCAAAGATTACTTCCGTTATATGAAACTTAATATTCTGGTGTGATTCCACGTGCACTTTTACACAGTTTAAACTATTTCTTTTGCGTTAGTTGGATCACGACAGCCGCCGGACCGCGAGTCTTCGGTGGTCGGTCACCAAAACCTCAAAATTTTCAGAAGATGAACATAGCGCAATAAATACATTGGGCTCTTGGTGCCTGGTACAATTAAAATGTAGATAATTTCGTGTGATAAGAATGACAAACACTGTCCCTAACATACGAAATGACCTAGTATCATTATTTCCCCGGGAGAAACTCTCCATCAGTCACTCTCCGTTATTCCCAGCTGTTTCTTGCAGAATTTAATGTCTCATTAACACGATCTGAACTAAAAAGGTACCATATCTTTAAATTCACTATTTTGAGATTTAAAAAAAAAATAGGAAGTGGGTTTGTCCCTGTTTGACCTTCTGTTAGACCTTCTGTGTCTGTCTACCTTTATGCAGGTCAAAAACTGCTTGACTGTGGGAGCATCATGAGATACAATAAGTGTGTTTCCCACGAGGCATGCGCCCATGCCGAGGGGCATATGTTACCGCTGGCAGACTTACAGAATGCTCTTGGCACCCCAACCCCCGGAACTACCTCAAATTTTTAATTTAAATAAATACCTGATACCTGGCTCATCATTCACAAATTAAAAATAATTTTTTTCGTATAAATCCTTTATACATTTTTTTTTGGGGGGGAATAATAGCACTTAGCTTATAAGAATCTTAATTATAAGAAATTTATAAGAATCCCAATTAGTCCCCCCCCCCCAAATGGCACTTACCCGCACATTTTTGTCACGCCCCCGAACTATATTAAGATGACCCACCCGCTTTTACATCACAAATTTATTTCACCATTTCAGAAAATCCAAATAAAATATTACGCACCAAACGATATTTAAAAAAAAAATAATCTCATTTAGCGAAGTTATCGGGAATTTTCCTCCATGTTCCACTTGAAAAACAGGAAAAACGGTCTTTTGGGGTTTGGGGGTGGGGCTGAAATATTGAAATAACGGGTTGACATCGGCAACGAAACCATGTGCCAAGTTTCAGCTGGATAGCTTGGCGGGAAAAGGGGACATTTAGCCGTCCGAAAATTTTGCTGCCCAGAAATCAACAAACAAAACCGAGGTTAATATAAAGGATTTTTATAAAATATCTAAATTCTTACAAAGCTCATAAAACAAAAAAAAAACAAACTATTTCATTATTTTCATATCTCACATTCCATTTTCTTATGCAAAACTCATGAACGTGTATCTCAGTTTTCATTCTTATTTCGTTTTCACGTCTTTCTCTCGAATATTATTTGAAATCTCCGATCATCTCGGCCCATTTTAAAATCTCACATTTACTATTTAAAAATATCACAGGAACCATTGCGTAGGCTATGGTGTTACTAATGGTACCCTACCTGAGCGAATACAATCTTCCAATTTTCCGCCAAATTTGGTCTGGGCGTGTCTTAACTGATCAAAAAGAATTTGCGTCAAGTGTTTTTTCAAGAGGGAGTGACACTCTGTGGGTGGGTGGCACAGTTTGTCCCAAAGCTGATCCACGCTTGACAGACCCGTTCTCTGCCCGCAGTCAGCATCGTCATTAACATTATCCTCATCGCCGTGTGTCTCTGTTGTAGGACATCCGGAATTCGTTTCTATGGTAACCCGATCGCCTTCACCGCCCGGCAAATCGTCTGCATCGCCCGAAGTCTGAACTTCCGGAAGCTCTGTATTTTGCCTTTGTCTGTCTATCTGTCTGCTGTAGATGGCGTACATATTTTGTTCTATCCTCCACAGAAATAAATGACTGAATAAAGTTCTTCGAACACAGCAACTTTAAGACTGAGCACTTCGTCAGAATGATATCCATGCAACAGCGGCCATGTTAGTATTTTCTTATCTTTTGTTTCCAGTAATATTAGGACACAGGAAGCGTTAGGGTCGCATAGCAATGGCGACGGTTTTAAAAATAACTCTGGACACCTGAGCACTGCGCTACCCCCCACTTCTGGAATGTAAGACTACGATCGCTTTTAGGTTGACGATTGTTCCCCCCCCCCCCCATATAAAAATAAAACGCTTTAGAGTTTGACACATAACCGGTAGAGCTCATTTGATGAGACGGATTCTACATTTGGGGTCAAGGTCACGATCTCATGCAGCAGAGTCCCATAGCGATTTGTGCCTTGGCCTTTAGACATAGACAGCGGTTGACTGTTCGAAATTGGCACAGAACATTTTATCTTTGCATTTTTGTTTTGGCGATTGCTTGTTAATTTTTGCGGGGCCCCCATCCCTCCCTTACCCACATTATTAAAAAAAAAATATTTGTTCCCTAGGGAGCCAAAACGTATACCATTTATGTAGTTTATAAAATAACAAAGATTTTCAAAGACAATGGCACGCGGTAATGTACAACACTGTAGTCTGTGCGACCATGCAGCTATTGGTACAGTTGTCGGATATTGTACAACTACACTAGTCAGCACAACCTGTTGCTGGTAGAGATTCTGATTTGTACAGCTACACTGTGGTCAGCACAGTCTGTTGCCGGGTACAGCCGTCTGATATTGTAAAACTAGACTGCAGTCAGTAGAACCTGTTGGTGGTACAGGTGTCTGATATTGTACTACCACCATGTAGTCCTACAACCTGTTGTTGGTACAGGTGTCTGATATTGTACTACCACCATGTAGTCCTACAACCTGTTGTTGGTACAGGTGTCTGATATTGCACTACCACCATGCAGTCCTACAACCTGTTGCTGGTACAGGTGTCCGTTATTGTACAACATGACTGCAGGTCTATACTTCCATGCAACCCGGCCCAGGTACATCTGCACGTGAACTATTGCTTGAAGCCAGGAAACAAAAAAAGTTTATCTAACGTGCTTGTGAATGTGTTTGCCAACCTATGGCATTGGCACTATCTAAACATTTGTTGTGTCAGACAGAAACAACAACTTTCACATTGTATGTGTATGTGTGCTTGGCGTTTTTTTGTCTTAAAAATAGTTGTTCATGCTTCCCCATGTTCTCCATTATCCATGTGTTTGAGCACGTAGGGAGTTCAACTAAAAAATCCAAATAAAATTCTCAACATATAAAGTAGTTCAACGCTCTACGCAATCTTAAAACACGGTGGACAATATAAGACTTGGGTGACACAATACAAGCGGGCTGACAATATAAGACTTGGGTGACACAATACAAGCGGGCTGACACAATACAACCGGGCTGACAACATAAGACCTGGCTGACACAATACAACCGGGCTGACAAAATAAGACTGGGGTGACACAATACAAGCGGGCTGACAACATAAGACTTGGGTGACACAATACAAGCGGGCTGACAATATAAGACTTGTGTGACACAATACAAGCGGGCTGACAATATAAGACTTGGGTGACACAATACAAGCGGGCTGACAATATAAGACTTGGGTGACACAATACAAGCGGGCTGACAATATAAGACTTGGGTGACACAATACAAGCGGGCTGACAATATAAGACTGGGTTGAAAATATAAGACTGATTTGACCATAAAATAAGACTGTGTTGACACTATGAGACAGGGTTGACACTATGAGACTGAGTGGACACTATGAGACTGGGTTGACATGATGAGACTGGGTTGACACGATGAGACTGGGTTGACACTATGAGACTGGGTTGACACGATGAGTCTGGGTTGACACTATGAGACTGTGTTGACATTATAAGATAAGTTTAGCATGAAAAGTTTGGGATGAGGAGATATGTTTCATTGACAAACAATTGAACCGCTCAGTGTCGTGGATCAACAGCAAATAATTAGAAAACTTAATCAATGTTCTACTTAAAATATTTTGACACGAACTCAATATCAGACTCGGGATGGAGCTTGGTGTTGTAATAAGTGTGTGGGTGGGGGAGGGGGAATCATGAGGACATGGAGAATTATATATATATATATATATATATATGTGTGTTATAATATATATATATAATATATACATATATAATATTATTATTTTTATTTGGTGGCGTGTAATAAAGGCAACGAGCAAATGATGAGAACCCCTCAACCTGGAGCCAAGAACGTTTGCACGTGACACATCTTTTGTTTTCGGTTATCAATTCTTCAATTTGAAATCTCGTCAAATCTCTGACTGTTCACACGTGTTAGTTCATCCCATTGTCTTTTTTTTTCATTAGCTGTTATCCTTCATTCAACTCGATCGATGCAGCAACGACCTATAACCTTATCACAAGGCTTTTGTGGCTTTTGGACACGGAGTGACCCAAATACTGAACGAGACGTTGACTCTGATTGGAGTTGATAGTAGCCAATCAAATGTGTCGTTTTCTCATTTAAACCTCAAATGATTTCACGACTCATGCACACAAATTCTTCTCAAAATTTAAGAAAGACATTAAGACACAGATATTTGAGTACTAAGCAAATACTCTCGAAATATCGACCAAAATCTCTTCTAAATTTTCATCAGTAAAAATCTCGTCTAAATTTCTATCAGTAAAAATCTCTTCCAAATTTCTATCAGTAAAAATCTCTTCTAAATTTCTATCTGTAACAATCTCTTGTAAATTTCTATCAATAAATATCGCTTATAAATTTCTTTCAGTAAAAATCTCTTCTAATTTCTATCGGTAAAAATCTGGACTCCATTTCTATCTTTCGCAGGTTAAGAATTGATGTTGATAACGTACGACTGTCAGACGTGGTTGTCAGAGCCGCGGAAAGAAAAATCTGCGCCTGGGGCAAAGGCTGGAATTAGGCACCCTCTTTCCAAATCAAACAAAGCATCCATTAATAAGCCTACCCATATTTTGCATGACAATCTAACGATTTTTGTTTCCCCTTCGCACGGCCCTTGTGGGGAAACTAACTATAGCAGGGTATATCATTAGGGAAAACAACACTTTGGTGAGAAGTTTAGGTACCCTACACTTGGTAGTGGTGCCAGAGGTGTAGTGTGAAAACTTGAACCTTCATAATAATTTTATACTAGGGCTTAACCGGGTGCATTTGTTTGTTTTTTTTACACCGCTCCCGGGTATTTTGAGAAATAGGCCTCCAGACAGTCTTACACTCCACCTGCCGGCCTTTAAACAAGAGTCCTACAGATTGTCCTACACCCTAACCGTGGCTCTCTATTGATTAAAAATTAAAATCTAATAGTCACCTCTAAAAAAATTCCAAATTTTTACCCGAGTTCAACCGTAACGCATGAAGCTCGCTGCTTGACACTTTTGTTTCACTCAGTACAATTAATATGCTGAGTAGGGGGAGGGCCGGTTTTGAAAAGGGAGAAGCCATACCAGAAGCAAGATATATATAAGACATTAACGAAAAAGCCTAAAATTTGAGTGCCCAGACATTTTGCCGCGCCTCTGCCGTGTTAACCCAATGCTTTACTTGTTGAAAGCCCAACGATTTCAATACACAGGGTGGCCTTCCTTTCTTTGTGGGGACCGATTACGTCATTGCAACGACTTTTAATGGCGTGGCAGGCATCAAGGAAACCCCAGCAGCGCCACCCAGCGTGAGCACAAACCACTTCCGTGTCACCGCGAGTTGTGTTGAGAGTGAGTCGAGCGCGCGCCGTCTGCTAACGGAGAGAAATCCTCGTCTCGAGTCTGTCCAACAATCGGCCACTCAATACTTCCACTTGACCGCTCGCGGTTTCGTCCAATAAGAGTATCCATCCCATGCTGGTCTCATTTGTCTGTCTGGCTTGTCGTGGATTTATTTTGTGTACATCGCCTCCTACCAGTCTCATTCTGACTGGAACTACTTTTATCAGGTCTTTTTTTTATTTTTAAATATACAATTGTAATTCCTTCCTCCTTTGACCTAGATACCCAAAACGATATTGACCATCATCCATTCATTGATTGAGCTGTTCACAATTCTTCATACTTTTTCTCTATATCAAACCTTAATTACACCTACATTATGGTAATCACACACGAACTCCCACACACAGCCACCAAACAATCCTCCCCATGCACGGTCATCACCCACTCATACACCCCCCCCCCCTTTCCAACCGTTTATGGCCATGATTTATAATTGTTTGAATTCCACCCATTCCAATGCCCGTCCCAATCATTACGCCCATGAAAACGCACAAAATGAATAGTATGTGTTGTTACAATAAATGAAAGGTTGATAAACGGCCAATATATAAACTGACTTTGAAGCCACATACAAACAAACCGTGCATTTAAAACACGCAAACCTATTCATAGGGTAGAACACCGTGACAAATCTTGCAGCACACCTAAGGGTCAACTGGTCTTTCCCCGGAACTGTCATTGGCAAGAGCTTCAACCCTATTCCCCCCCCCCCACTTTCCTTTTCCCTGTCAGTATCAACACTGCCCCCCTCCCCTCCCCCTCGCTAGGCACACTCCTGCCAACTCCTTCCCTGATTACGGAGCACACCACCTCCACCCCAGTGCCCAGTTGTTAAGTAACACCAGTTGTTCCTACAACTGATGTAATAAATTATTATTTTTGAGGCCAGTAATCTCCTGGCATTAGTGAGACGTTTGTGAGACTTTTGTGAGATTTTTGTGAGGGTTTTCCTGGAAGCAACCACATAGAAACTAGACCGAGGAGCTAGAGATTAGAAAATAAATATCAAACTTCAACTCTACATTTATGTGGTTTACACTGTGATGTTGTGATGTGATGTTGTGATGTGATGTTGTGATGTGATGTTGTGATGTGATGTTGTGATGTTGTGATTTGATGTTGTGATGTTATGATGTGATGTTGTGATGTGATGTTGTGATGTGATGTTGTGATGTGATGTTGTGATGTGATGTTGTGTTGTGATGTTGTGATGTGATGTTGTGATGTGATGTTGTGATGTAATGTTGTGATGTGATGTTGTTATGTGGTGTTGTGATGCGATGTTGTGATGTGATGTTGTGATGCGATGTTGTGATGCGATGTTGTGATGCGATGTTGTAATGTGATGT